ATACACATACACATATACATATATATATACATATACATATATATATATATAGTCATGGCTTTGTTAGTTATTAACATTAAACAATTAACGGTTCCATTTGAACCTTGGAAACAGCAGTTTCTCAACACTGTCCGGTCTACTTGTAGTTTCCATAGATACATCTCATAGTTTCATAACAACAAACCACCTCGGAAATAGAAGTTGGACCTTGGCTTTTTTTGGTTTTCTCAAACTTAAAAAAATCAAAACAAAAACAAATTTAGAAAAATGCATTTATGACAAATGCATGATAGCTGAGATTATTATTTTAATTCATTCACAGTTTTGAGATAAGCTAACTTTAAAAATCTCATGATTGCCACAGGTTTCTACGACATAGTTCTTCTCATGATATAGCATTATTAATATTATATTATTATTATTATATCATATAATATATAAGAGAAATACAAACAGTTGATTATACTGTTTTACTTTTATTAAAAAATAAATTTTGCTCAATTTATTTTCATATATGACATATTAATAACAGTAAACCTAGTAAACCTGTAATAAAAGTAAAATATAAAATTAAAAATAAATTCAATAAAAACAAAAGCATAGTTAGTTACATAAATTAATAATAATAAATGTTTTGAATAAATACAAATAATTAATTATGATTATGGAGGAGAAATACAAAGTTGAACGGTATACTGTTTTAATTTATAGATAGCTAACTTGTAGCGTTACATAAAATTATGACATTGTTTCAGCAGAGTTAGGTAAATTATAAATTAGTTAGGTTAATAAGCGTAACGATTTTATTTTTATATTTTTTTGTTTGTTTGTTTTGTGAAACTACTTCCCACAGATTCTACGTAAATCGTTGTGAATTAACGTCATTACCCGTAACCGTTAACGTTAGCTTTAGGTTTTAACAATACAACTACTTGACTGTTTTTATTTAATTTATTAATACTTGACTGATGTGAGGGATATTTCTAGGAACGGGGGATGGCACCGCTAGCTAAATAAATATGTAGCATTGCTTAACCAGCCAATGTACAACTACTCACAGCGTAACGTACGTTGCTAACGTTAGCCGTTACTGTTAACAGGACCGTTAACTTTACCTAAGATGTGAAAACGACGACGAATAACGGACAACTAACGTTAACGTTCGCGCTAAAGTTAGGTTAGCCAGGTTAGCTTGACAGCTTCACTGAGGCGTTTTCCGTAAACACAATTGGACAGTAACATTACCTGACAGCTGGGCTAATTCCTGATAATTTTCCGTTAACTCTCCTAATACCGGCCATGGTGATTGTTTTGTCCCGGCTCACAAAATTTACGTTTTAAATCGAACAACGTTATGTATTTAAGGGCCGACTAACTACATCTTCTTCATCACCCTGTAGAACGTCTACACAAGATAGCTTAGCAACGGAGCAAACCACTTGATGTTTAGGGGCGTCCAGAATATTATTACAAAAGTTGAGGGGGGGGAAAGTGACAAAATATATCACACATTATTATAATTTCCACAACCACTATAATGGAAACTACCATATTTTCTATTGGCCAAATTAAACGGTTTAGAAAAAAGCAATGTATCCGAATTAAGCAGACCCCCCCATTTTACGCTGTAGTATTGTCTTGTTTTGGGCCGTTTTGACAGCGGCAGGCACCAGCGCGCAGCAGCACAGGGAGATGGTGCAATCCCTCAGTAATCTCAGTTGTTGTGTATGGAGGGGAACCCCTTCTTATACTGTAGCTAAATCCATGCTAGTCTGCATGTGCTGGAAGTGATAATGTAATGTCTTTGCTGTTGTTTTGACAAGTGAAGAGATGATTAATAAATCCTTTTGGGAGCTAATTCAACCAGAAAAAATATGTTTTACTTTCTTTGAGAAACTATTTCTTCTTTTAAACAGATGTCCTTGTCATTAGTGTTAACCTTGTATGTTCACAAGGACGTTTTAATCAAATTTTTGATCTTGCATGTCATAGCACTAATATACTACTTTGTTTTATCTACAATGATGCTGATTCAGCAATAATGAAGAACATAAACAATCACAGGATGCCTGTCAGGCTTTATTGTGCAGAGGGCATGATATAGTCAGGTAGGGAAAAAGAAACTGAACCAGGCCAACTGATAAGGAGTTTGCAAATCCGTTCAATTTAAAATGTTCACCTCAAATATTACCTTTGAAACACTGGCATGCTTAAAATGGACTTGCAGTTGTATAGCGCCTTTCTAGTCTTCAACCAATCAAAGCCACCGCCACATGCCAATATTTACCCCATTCATACACTGATGGCAGAGGGTACCATACAAGGTGCTCAAGGATCCAATCTAATGTCCATTCATGCACACTGACACACTGATGGGGTGCAGTATCTTGCCCAAGGACACTTCAACATGAGCCAAATGTCACATTGTGGGGAGAGAAATCTGCACAGTCACATTATGGGGACTCAGCTACTGTATTTTAGGATGCAAGGCTGTGTGTGTGTTGTGTGTGTGTTTGTTCGACAAAGAGAAAAGATATGTTTTACAGTTTGGCATGGATGCTTACTAAAGATTATTGGTGTAATGTGCACAAAGGTTTTAGTAAGAAGTATTGTTTCTTATTTGTGAGTAAAGCAATGCCAGTGAGCAGAGTTCTTAAGAACTCAGGCATGAAACATAAGCCTTTTGTGCTGTGGAATGCACTTCCTTAACAGTAAAACTTTGGGTCACACCGGAAAAGTTGTAACCAGGAAGCATCTTATTTTTTTTTGCCCTCATAATGCTTGTCTCAGAGCCAGAGAATCCAGTTTCAGGTGTTCTCTTGAGCTGACAAGGATCTTAAAGCAGACCTGCAAGAGCACCTGCAAAAGACATGTCGCGCAGTAAGTAATTATTTCTGACATCATTTTGTGTTTTCCTACACATTCAATGCTAATTTAAATACAAGGGCAATGTTAGCAATTGCAAGGCCTAAAAAATAACAGATGCATTGGAGTTGCAGTTACTGTTCAAATACATTTTTTAAACCCTGTATTTCTTGGTATGTGCACTTAAAATGATCACAAGTCATTGACAAGTCATAACTGTGTTGTTTGGCAGACGGCAAAGCTAACATGAGGCATATGATGGTGGTCATGTCCACCGTGGAGCAATGGTCCTCTTTGAAGTCTCTGCAGCAGCACGGATCAGGGGGAAAGCATCTCAGGTTGACCTTCAGTTCTCTGGGACCAAATCAAGTCTGTGACTTGACAGTGGATGGTCGCTTGGTCAGCTTGATTTACGCAGATTTAAAGCAAGACATGACAGAGGAGGGCATACGTCGGGCAATAGATGGCTGCTTTAAGTCTTGCACAGACGGAGTGAGTACATTCCTGCTGCTGATCCAAGGCGGCCTTTACACAAAGAGGGAGAGAAGAATGGTGGAGACACTGCAGGCCCACTTTGGAGCTGAGGCTTTAAAGTACCTGGTAGTCATCTCCCTGGAAGATGGAAAGGTTGCTGACACACTGGACGACGCCCTCCTGGAGCTGCTGAACACGTGCGATGGAAGGTACTGCCGAATCACATCGTCTGCAGCGGAGCTGAGCGCTCTGCTCAAGATGCTCGACCGCATGCTGGCTGAAAACGGCACGACCGGCTACACGGAGGCCATGCTGACAGAGGCCAAGAAAAAGAGCACGGAAGACTCGGCCATGCAGATCCTGAAACAGAAGGTGCAAGAGGTCGAGGAGCAGGAGTGGGCGTTCAATCAACAGATGCAACAGCAAGAGGTGAGAAGAGCCAAAGAGAGGGAGGAGCTGAAGGTGAGACATGCTGAGGAAAGAAAGAAGGAGGCTGCGGAAAAAAAGCAACACCAGACGAAGAGGGGGAGCCTGGAGGAGGCTGTGATGAGCCACTGGGCCATGCTGCAGCTCCAGATGAGCGCCACTGATGGTAAGACTTAGTTTGAATTCGAATGAGTTAATATAAATGAAATCTTTTTCCTGCACTCCAAACATTTACATCTGGTTGCTGGAAAAGGACCATGTGATCTTCTTGATCAGCTTTTATTTCATTTAGGACATTTTAGTAAAAAGATTTAGAAAATTTCAGAAAACTTTCTCAACATGAAAGTACTTTTCTCCAAGAAAGATGATAGCACAGACAAATAATATTTAAATTGTAACGTGAAACCGTTCATAACCGTATTGTTAAAGTACATTTTTGCTCCCTAACGCCATTTCTCCTTGTCTTTGACTGGAAGATGATGACACGAAGAAGATGTCGGTCATCCTGTTGGGTCTTTCTGGCAGCGGGAAGTCCTCTGCTCTGAATCTCATTCTAGAGAGGGCAGGTAATCAATACAAATCCATCCATCAGTCCAGTCACGAACCCCCTCAGCCCACCTTGTTTTGTGAGCGGAAAGAGGTGTTCGCAGCAGGGAGGCGACTCATCCTGGTCGACACCCCCGAGCTGTGGGACGAGGACGGGGCGGAGAATCTGGAGCTGGTCAAGGACTGCTTGGCTTTGTCCTTGCCTGGACCCCACGTCTTCCTGCTGGTGCTCCAGGTGGAGCGCTTCACCCAGGGCGAGTGCGAGATGCTGGGGCACCTGCAGAGGATCTTCGGACAAGACTTTGCAGAGCACGCCGTAGTCCTCCTCGTTCGCTTTGACCGCAACCAGCGCAGCGGGCCTCAGGGGATCAACGACTACGTGGCCGGCGCCCACGCGACCCTCCGGGATCTCATCCGCAAGTGTGGCAGCCGCTTTTATGAGCTGAACGTGACAAAGTCCCAGAATGCCCTGAGCTACCCTCAGGTGAGAGACCTGCTCTCAGGGATCAACAAGCTGGTCGCTTCACATGGAGGACGCTCCTACTCAACGAGGAGGTTTTCTGTGCAGGAGCTGCAGGAGAGGAAGAAGGGGGCTTTGGAAGGCAACTACTTATTAAGAGATGCGTGATTTCCAAAACCATAGGTGAGCTCAATGAATGCCACACCTGTACAACGTGATTAAATGTGACATGTCATTTGTTCAAACGATGGTATCAGATATCAGAGGAATTAGTCCTGCAGAGATTTTGCACTGGATTGAATTACATTGCAGATTGTTTAAATTTTTGTAGACTATGTCATGCAGGAAATTGCCACCAGAGGCGCTCTATATGAGGGAATTATATAGAGAATTATCTTTCTGTATATTTCGGATTATGTTGAGCATATTCATACATTCATCAAATGCAAATCACACGTACATTCTATTTATTTTATTTCTTTATTTTGATTTATGAACAACTGGCACCAGCGAATCAGAAATTATTATAATAAATTGCTTTGTGTAGAAAACAAATTGGTGGTGGTGTGGGGATTTTCCAAACCAAACAGAAGAGCAGAAACATCATTCATGTCCATGTTTATCTGCAGGGAGGAGGGAGGAAAAGAAGAAGTACAGCTGCAGATTTGATTTACTTCTGGACTTCCCCATCGGTAAGAGGACTTATCCAACATGTTTATGAGATCTGCTTGTTAATATCTTGATTGCCTAACAGTTACATTCTTTAACACCATCCTTCAGATGGACAACAAGCGCACTCGACTCCATGAAGACTGAAGATTGTTTGTCTGAACGTTGTTTTATTAAATCAGCTGTTGTGCAATTCTTATGTTCAATGCTATAATGTTTATCCCTGCTATAGGGTTACTTTTGTGTTTTTATTATGCAATCAAACAGAATAGGTCTAAGGACAATACTATCCAACACTGAAATCAAAAAATATTTAGTTGCAAGTAAAATAAATTAAATTAAATAAACAGATTTGATTGCTGTTAAGATGAATCTTGTGGGCGGGACAAAGTGACAGCTTGGCAGCAGTTGGTAAAGGAGAGAGTTTTTTTTTTTATTCGCATTGATCATAAAATCTATATTACTTGCAATAAAACATTTATTTGATTGCAGTGTGGATAGTTTCTTTGTTATTGTACTGCATGTTATTGTACAGTAAACAATTCAAAACAGACATCTGAATGTGATAAAAGTATTTTATTGATTCCTTTATAAAGGGACGGCTAATCTGTACAGGTGGTTGTATATGTTACCCACTCTGGGGATCTATCTCTATAGAGCCATGCTTTTTGTGATGCTGGTTGCGGTGGAAACATGGCTGACACCATTTAGGCGCTCTGGTCTGGTGTTGCATCGGGCTGCAGGGCCATGGTGCTGTCGATCCACTCGGTGTAGTGGGAGATGATAGTGTAAATTCCAGGCTTTTTAATTTGGCCACACTTCTTTCCTCCGTTAGAAGTGATGCCCACCGCGATGCCATTGTAGAGCAGAGGACCTCCAGAGTCACCCTGAGAGACAACAAAAAGAGGGACAGGAAATTACTGTATTTCATATTTTGCCAATTTGGAATAAGAGAACAAAAACCATTCGTATACTTTGAATACAGACAAATATACGTTACTTTTCTCATGCATCATCCTAACGATTGACCCATTGACATTTGGTAAAAGAGAAGGAAGTAAGACTCACATCACAGCTGTCTTCCTTCTTGTGCGGTTGATCACAGGGTTGTGGGCATACTTTATGTGCACATATCATGTTATTGGTGAACTTTCTGCCAAAGTAGTCGCTGCGTCCGCACCGAGCCGAGCTGAACACCTCAACGACCACCTCTTTGAGCCTGTCTGGTCTGGACCCCAGGTCATCGAGGGACCCCCACCCAGCCGTCTCCACCTCTGCATCCGTGCCGGGGTTTGTGCCGCCGGCTCGCAGGAACTCCACAGCTTTCACGGCTTCAGAGGCGTTGAATGGACGATCCAACTGCAAAAAAACACACAAAACCGTTCCAAAGAGGTTTTGTTTTAGTTTTTGATCTATAGATCCATCTCAAAGATCTAGAGACAGTTCTGGTGTTGGTACCACTGACAATTGACACAAACTTTACATTTGTACCTTAATTAAAGCGATGTCATTGTCATAATTGGACACTCTGAAGTCAGGGTGATTGTAAAGTTCCAAAATGTCAAAAGTCTGCTTTGTCTCTTCAGGTTCACTCAGAGAATGGACACCCAGCACCACTTTCCTTCCATTCGGCCTGTGGAAAGAGCGCAATAATATAATTACTGTATATTCAAAGCATTGTATTATAATAAACAGTCAGTAAAATGACAAGTAGTGGACAGAAAGATGATGCTAAGAATGCATGTTTTGCTCCATAATATCAGACATCCATATTAACAAAAATAACACCTTAATGAACAAAAATCATTTACGAAAACAGAGCAAATAAATATGATATTACCAAAGAAACTCAGAAACAAAGTCTGTGCTCAGCTCTCATACAGAGACTATTGGCATGAGTTGAAGTAAATATTTGAATTATAACTTAAATGTACCATATCATTGTTCTTATTCTTCTCACATAACAAACTACATTCATGGCGGTGAGAAGAAGGTTGCCTCACCCTGTTGGCAGACAGTGCACTGCAGTCATCACCCACTGATCTGCGATCACAAACCCTCCACACTCGTGTTTCATGTTCTCTCCTTCTGGTACCTGGAT